CCCATGAGGGTACGTAGGTAGTCAGTGGCCTGCATCTGTTTCTGTTTATCTATACTAAGGTTATACAATACCTATTACTATTGAACAAAATGAGGGTTTTATTCAATGATATTACTCAACGAAAAGCATTTGTAAATGAATCGCCTACGAGTGCGGTTGTAGTGTACGGCGCTCAGTTCGTGTAAAACCATTATCCCACGTATAAGGGTGAGTTTTGTTTATCGTTATGTAAGATTGGTTGTCGGTTCGAGACGTTTTCAACATAATAAATAAATTAAAATAAGTTAACACGCAGTCATCATTTAATCAATTTTTGGTATCTATTTCGGTTTGCCCGAGTTTTGATAATGCACGCGATCGTGATTTTGGTAAGAAATTTCTACCAATGAAATTGTGATAGATTGGGCCGATTTCTTCCATATCTCTTAGATGGCATCGCCCATAATTGATCTAAGGGTACAGGGCTCAAAAGAAAAGCAATCATGAACGTCAAAATTTTTAAAAATTTTTTATGTTGATGGGTATAGAGAAATGTGGTATCTCTGCGACCGAAATAAACCAAATAATTCGCAAAAGGTTGGGTGCAGTGTTCTCGTTTCGTCCGTTCGAGGCTTCAGATCTGAGCGCTGAGACCTCATCACTCAAACGCTAGAATTTGATTTAAACGCTCACAAATGAAAGGCTAGAATCGGTTATTGTGGGTTAAAAAACTACCCTAGTTTGGAAAAAATTTTATAACACTTCTCACGGACCCTAATAAAATAAGTTACTCATCATTGCCAGGAGGCAAAGTAAGCCGTCCCCTATTAGTTATACAGTCATAAATGTCTGAGAAGCCTTTTTTGAGGAAACAATTAATAACCTCTATAAAGCGTTATAAAGTCCTAATTATAGTTTCACGCAACCCTTAATCAGGGCCATCATTGTCAAATGAGATTAGGGAGGTTTTTTCCTATAAGTTTTACTTATTATTCTTCAATTATAAGTGCTGAAGTTCCATAATTTATGGAAAGCGACCATAGGGTCTGAGGGGTCTGAGCTCTGAGTGTACATGGACTACCCCCCAATAGACTGTAGACAAAGATATGATGCAGGGAAGACATTGAATTGTTCCTTTTCCTGGGTGGTATTCCATGCAAAATAATAATTCTTAAATTTATCAAGAACTATTGAGTAGTTTTCGCAAATTTAAATTTTTCTTCATTTTCTATTACCTCAAGTTTGTAGATTAATATTACTTTCAAACCTCCATCCCGAAGTACCGAACTATAATGGGTGCAATTACAATACAACTAGCAACCGAAAACGAGTGTTTAAACATAAGGTGCCGTGAGAAATTGGCTCTCATTTTTGGACTGT